GCCTTGGGACGTCCTTCCACCTCCTTGGCCGCCACCCCTTGCTCCTATATAAGTAGATCCATCTAGTAGATTTTTCCTTGGGATTTGTTTAGTTAAAAGTTAGCCATTGCAACTTCGTGTACTTCGTTTGTGTCCAACGACCAAACCAAGACCGCTGAAGGATCCCCACCATTATCAATACTTCATATATATTCGCAATATTCAGATTGCATTATCATATTCTTGCTTGTTCTTCAATTGCGTGCAGGAATAGACCTTCGTGGTCAGGCTGATCGTGCTTCCAGCATCGTCAGTAACCTCGGGAGATTGGTTTAGCAATTGCTAAGGCGCAACGGCGTGCACGTTTGTAGTCAGATCGTCAAAGTCGTATCCACCAAATCGATAGTTATCATCTCATCGAAAGATCGGGACACCCTCGCCTCTATCAAGTGGTATCAGTCTTCAGGTTGCTCGGTGAGAATTTCCAGTTTCCCCTAGATTAGATTTATTTTCTTACCTATTGTCCAAGAAAAAGCCACAAAAAAGTTAGATCTATTCTTCCTTTTGTCCAAGCCAGTCTGAGCCTTTGCAATTTTCTTTTCATTGTTTGCATTATTGAATTATCGCTTGCATCATCGTGTCGAGTTGTTGATCTTAGTGTTTAGTTCGTTTAGAGTTTCGAGTTCTGTTTACATTAGTCACGTCGCCGCTACATTGTTATCCCTTGCGCTGTCCACCACACCATCCAGCAGTTTCCACCACGTGCTACCCATAGTTCATTTTCACAATCATAGTTGAGGTCGTTCACATCTTCGCTTGATCCAATCTGCATCTTATCTAGTTTGTCTTGGAAAGAGGGAGAGAAAAAAAGACAGAGAAAAAAAGAGAGAGAAAAAGAAAAAAGTCAGAGAAAAAAAAGAGAGAAAGAAAAGGAAAAAAGTGTGAGGAAAAAAAGAGAGAAAAAAACAAAATTCGGATCTATCTAGACTCAATCTCGTAGTTGAATTCTGTTTTGTGCACTGTTCAGTAAAACATGCATCACTTCCTCATACGAAGTCCGATTTGGCTCCGTGAGTACTCAACTAAAAGCTAGCAACGAGCCGCATCTAAATAGTTACAGAAGCTAGTTCAATATTTGGCACCACAAAATCGGCTTCTAAATAGGTCTTTTGCCCTCCGAAGTTCACGAACACAGCTTATTCCAGTTTTTCACACCAGTTTTAGAATTTTTTGACTCCTCATATCAACTCGGAATTGAGTGATTCCTTTTGTGTTTGCAAGCATGAGTCAATACCATTCTTGAAAAAAGTAATCAGAAAATTGGCTCAAACTTTTCCAGAGGAAAGTTGGAGAGAGAGAGAGTTGTTGTCTATCCTGCTTGGCAGTTGTTTTTCATCATTATCTTTACTGTCGTTGTGATTTTCACTTATATCTTGCTGTCCAGAGCTACTTAGTATCCTTCATTGATGCTATTTGTGCTACGTCGTGACCTCATTAGTGCTCTAGGCTCGCGTCTCTAGTCTGGTCTAGCCTAGGACCAGCACAGTACCGTCGTTGAACATTTATTCAACATTGCATCTTTGAATTGATTATTGCTAATCTTTTGCTACCATATATAGCCAACCCAGCTCCACATATTTCTACACCATGTATACGTACGTTCCCCTGGCAATCGCTTTACACAATCTTTAGAGTTATTTGACACCGCTGGTTGCCTGTCACCACCTGCTGCTTGGTAAGAACTTGTAAGATATTGATATTTGCTTTACTGTGAGCGCTTTACCACCACACCCTAGTAGTTCATAGGAACATTATTCTTAAATTTTGTTTCTTGTTTCTACTAATCATGACAGGTTCCGAAGATAGAAGTTCTTGGACGACGAACACATCTTCACCATCACGAGAGTTGGGACAACACACAAAAGCACATGGTTAGGTTATCTTTTTACTGTCATTTGAGGGTAGATTTAATCCTACTACTTACTTAGCTTGGGAGCTTGAAGTAGAACAAGTTTTTAGTCACCATGACTTTTCTGAACTTGAGCGAGTGCGAGCAGCCACTAGAGCATTTACTGGTTTTGCTTCTGTTTGGTGGAGTGTACATTGTAAGAAAAACATTGATAACCAACCCACAACTTGGAAAGTTCTGAAAGCTGTAGTGAGACAACAATTTTTCCCTCTTTACTATCGTCGTGAATTGCTTCACAAATTTGAACAATTTAAACAAGGCAACAACACTGTTCATGCTTACTACCAAGAGTTCAAATCTTATATGCGTCATTGTGACATAGAAGAATCTGAGAATGACATAATGAATAGATTTTTTGGTGGTTTGAACCATGATATTCAGGCAAGATTTCAGTATATTCCTTGTTGCATTACTGGTATGTATGTCCGTACTTATATCTTTGAGAGACAGATATAGGAGGATGCATTAGGTGACTACAACAACTACTATTCCAGTTCATGCTCACCACCGCCGGTTGGTTCCTCCACCATTACACCTCGGATTGTGAGCGCGGCATCATCTCAAGAGTATGGTACATTGTCAACGTCTGTACCTACATCAGCTACATCTTTGCGACAAGGTAACAGTAAAGGTATTGATGATATAACTTCACATGAGAATGATGCATGCCTAGTTAACATGAATGCGTAATGTATTGAGTTACCTGTTGATTTAAACACATCACCTATTTTAGAGAATCTTGTTACTGTCATGAATGCGTCATGTGATCAAACAACTGAAATATCAACAATTTTGAGTGCACCCATTGAATTAACTATTAATGTAAAAGAACCAATGTTTAATCATTTTAATATGACCTCCAATCTTGGTGATGATTCTGTGTTCAATGACTTATTGCATGTTTGATTATTTAAGCATGTTGTAGCATATACATTTGATGCAAGTAATGTTTATTCACCAAAGTTGGGATGGTTTAATGATGAACATTGCCAATCTTTTGAGATGAATAAGAGCTTCACTTATATGTGCAAACTGAGTTGCAATATTATCATGCCTTCTACTTCTTGTGATAATTTTTTTGCTTTATATTTTATGAACTATAAAAGTTACTCATGTATACATGTGTCATATGTGCAAAAATCAAGGGAAGTTAAAATGGATGACATATACATATACAACATGTACACCTTGTCTCTTTTGTTAGCCACATTTCAGATTAAGCAACGCCGAGGACGGCTTTATTTTCAAAAAGGGGAGGATGATGAGGACATGACTACCTTGGATACGACCAAAAATATTGCATACATGCATATTTGTCAGCTAATTTCTAATGCAAACTATTCAATAATCTATTTATGTTATTCAGAACAAAAATACTTCACACACTTTTGTGTTTTGTCTAATTGCAGGTGTATGGGACATTTGTACAATCCACATATGCAGATAAGGGAAAAGGAAAAGTTTAGGTTCTGTTCAAAAAGTCCTCTCACGTCACTTTTGGGCCAAGAGAAGATAGAGTCAAGTCTCTCACGTTCTGGATTCAGATTCGGACTGCACAGACATACCTGACTCAAAACGGCAACAACGTTTTCATACGGACTCCGAATTGGGTGATTCTTTTTTTATTGGAAACTAGATTTCGTGCTCTTTCCAACCCAATTGGATTCACCTTCAAATTCGTCCGGAGCGTTGAGTTATGGATGAAACAATCTGATGTTGCAGCAGAATCCGAGTCAAACTACAAGCCCAAATGTGTTGCATCACCTCCACTTGGGCCCATGAGCCTTGTACGACCTAGGGTTAGTTTTAGGCTGCCTTGGGACGTCCTCCCACCTCCTTGGCCGCCACCCCTTGTTCCTATATAAGTAGATCCATCTAGTAGCTTTTTCCTTGTGATTTGTTTAGTTAAAAGTTAGCCATTGCAACTTCGTATACTTCGTTTGTGTCCAACGACCAGACCAAGACCGCTTACGGATCCCCACCATTATCAATACTTCATATATATTCGCAATATTCAGATTGCATTATCATATTCTTGCTTGTTCTTCGATTGCGTGCAGGAATAGACCTTCGTGGTCAGGCTGATCGTGCTTCCAGCATCGTCAGTAACCTCGAGAGATTGATTTAGCGATTGCTAAGGCGCAACGTCATTCACGTTTGTAGTCGGATCGTCAAAGTCGCCTCCACCAAATCGATAGTTATCATCTCATCGAAAGATCGGGACACCCTCGCCTCTATCAGTTCCACCATGACATCACACCGCTGTGGTGCTTGCTATCACCCGTTGCCCAAACCATCGCCTCTACTTGTTTCCCTATTGCATGTGCAGCTGCTCGATCTTCTGTCAATCATTTATATACTACTGGTGGTGTGCTATACCTGGCCCGCTACTACTATTTATGTTACTGGTGCCATGGGGGCATCACGCCACTAGTAACATTTGTCAATAGCACTATATTAGTGGCATGGGGGCAACACGCCACCAATGATGTTTTTGGCATATGCCACTACTAGGCATTCATTTACTAGTGCGAGAAACTTGAATTGGTGGTGTCAATCAAAAGATAGGCAGACAAAAAGGTGGGTGGGGTAGGAGAACAGTGAACGGCAAGCTAGGTGGAGGCAGAGAGGTAGGGAACTTTGGCGCCTGCAGTGACTTCGTTTATGTTAAGATGTTGTGCCGACTCAATATCTCGAACATATTTATAAGGGTGTGCGTATGAGTATTCATAGTGATGAGTGTATCTGCGTCTATGTAAACAATTGCAAATTGTACTGTGTTTACTTTTTTCCCTTTCGGATTCTGCTTCCCCCTGTTTTAATAAGAGAGTAGAACTTAGCTTACATTCCACACCGTACGTAGATGTAATGCCTGGAGCTACATACATATTCACACAACACAACCATGAAACGCACACAGCTTCATCGGGAAAAAGAAAGGAAAAGAAAAAAAGAAACGCACACAGCTTGCCGTGTTTGTCCTATGTACAGTAATTACATGGAATCGGAAGTAACTGGCGCAGACACCATCCATCGATTCTCATTGCTGCTGCTACATGATGGAGCAGCTGTTGGCGTCATCCGAGTACCCATGGTGCACCACCGTGTGCGTGTTCGCCGCCGGCTGCTGCGGGTAGTAGTAACCCTGCTGCTGGTACTGTGCCGGGTAGCCGCCACCGCCACCGCCGCCGCCGCCGCCGCCGCCGTAGCTGTAGTAGTCTCGCCCGCCCGTTGTCGGAGGGTACGAGCCGGCGTTGTGGTAGTGGTCCCGACCGCTCCCGGAGTGCTGCTGCGGCGGGTAGCTCCCCGTGTAGTACATGTCGCGCGCGGTCACATGCTTGTACGGGCTCGGGCTCGGGTGGTAGCGGTACGGGTGGTACTCGCCGGCGAAGTCGTCGTCGTCGACGGTGCGCAGCTCCACCACCTCCGCGTGGCCCACCTTCCGGCGCAGCTTCTCGGTGAGGCGGTTGGAGTCGACCCCGGCGCCGATGACCAGCAGCAGGTTCTTGTCCTCGCCGGCGATCGTGACAGACTCCACCCCTGCTCGGTTCACGCAAAATTAAGTCAACGTGCATCCATGAACCGTGCAAACAACACGAGATTTAAGTTATAGTTTAGCCTCAAAATGTCTTATATTTTGATACGGCGGTAGTAATAATTAGCCATCAAACGTGCTAGTTCGTGACAAATCTTGAGGATTGAGAGGCGAAGGTAAGAGAGGTGTTATGGAGCTAGGGATTTACCGGTGACCGCAGCAGCCACCTTGATAGCCTTGGAATGGCCCTTCTCAGAGCTGATCTGGATCCTGATGACCATCTCCGTCTGCAAAAGTTTCAGTCCATGAAACTAGTTCTAATACTGACAGCAGGAAGAAACAAAACCGAATTTAACCAGGTGGCACTAAGATCTTACCCTCATCTTCCCCGTCGGTAGTCCTCCGATGAGCAAAGTAGAACTTAGTAGTACTAAGCAAGCACCAGCTCTACCAGCCCTTGGCAACTTGCTAAGCTAGCTTACGCTGTTATGCAGGAGGCTTGTACCCTGTGTGATAACACAGTAGTGACTTTATATACACGCACAAACCGACCCTGATTATTATTATTTTTGGCGGGGAAACCAACCTTGATTGAACGGCTATTAGCAAGATAATCAGCCCGCATTGACCTCACCGCCAAGTCGTCGGGGCCCCGAAGCATATCCCAACAGCCAACACCCTCATTTTTCCTTCTGAGAAAATATCACTGCGCTTTGTGGATCGAGAGCGACACCAACGGTTTATTTAGGGAGACCTCGCGTCCCTGACTGGACATGTCGACATGTCGTAGCGACTCACTGACTCGGCTACCGTAGATAACTCGTGCGCCCACGCAATCGAATGCCACTTGTACGCATGATCGCATCACATCGACGCGTGAGCGGCGGGTTTGGACGCGTCATTCCCCGAAAAGAAACGGGAAGAACGGAAAATTTTGGCCGGGTAGGACTTACGTGCCTCTGATACTGTTTTAATAGCCATGCAGAGTTATCGGGGGCGGTTATAATAACTAGTGAGTGTAACGGGTGGCTGGGATTGGCAGTGCTGCCATGTGTGACAGTGAGATGGGGATCGGTGGCGAGTGCGAGGGTGAGCTGGAGAGTGGAGACTGAGCCGGCTGAGACCGACACATGGTAGCTAGGGGAGTGGGACACGATCAATCTATAGTTAATTCCGGGGCATGTAGCGAATCAACCTGTGGTTGAGTTGGTTAGGGGGACAGTGGTATCCCCAACCCACCAGGGTTCAAATCCTGATGCTCGCATTATTCCTGGATTTATTTCAGGATTTCCGGCGATACGCTTTCAGTGGGAGGAGACGTTCCCGTCGACGACGAGGCGCCTACGGTCACTTCGTAACGTGGCAAGTGATGCTGCAAAAGTTAGCTCCATTTTCTTAGACAAGGTAATTACGTATGCGTTGCAACGGGTATAAATAGTTTATTATTTTAGGCCGTGATTTATCAGTCCATATTAATATAACAACCCCGATCCCAAACGCTCGGATTTTAAGCATGCCATCCAAAACGATTTTTCATGGCAACTTACTTGACATGAGATGACAACTTTGGTTGTTAAAACATGACAACTTTGTCTCGGTTTGTTCTTTTTTTTTGTCAGAAAATTGTTATGTTTGCCAACCTCGCGTGAACTAAAGTTGCCATAAAAAACGTTCGGGTTACATACTTAAAATTCGAACGCTCAGGATTTATCATTTCCGTAATATAATTGTGTAAATAAATGTTTACCAAATCCTACATGTGATTTACCTGTAGGTAAGTTACCTATCATACTTTAGAATTCTTTTTTGTAATCATTTATTGGCTTACAAAAAAACATAAGTTTATTCGGTAAATCAATAAAAGGTGAGACATTTAAGGCGGATTTCAAGAAATTGTGCTTAGTAAAAGAATGGAAGCTTGGATGAAGTACTCCACCTGGCAGGAAAATAAACGATATTCCTTTTTTAGGTAGTACTCCACCCGTGTCAGGCGTATTCCAATACACAAAAGGAATAGAAAAATACATGCAATATGTAAATTCCTTAGTGGATGAGTTAGGCATACTGCGGGTATTCTTAAAAAAGAGAACATTCGTCTCTCGTCTATTATCGACGATTTAGAAGCTTTGGCTGAGGTTCGCCTATTATCTGTGCAAGAAATTGAGATCAAGAATCAATTGAATGCATAAATAGCTAGACTTCTGAGAAAAGAGGGGCTCAAGTGGTACCAACATTCAAACTCTCGGTTTATTCTGAAAGGGAATTCGAATACAAGTTACTTCCATGGTGTAGCCAACGCTAGACACCGGAAGAAACTTATTTATTCTCATGTACAGGAGGAGGGCACGATTGTGAACATGACAACTCAAATATACATTACTAATTATTATAAAAATATGTTCGAAACCCCAGAAGAAGGCAACTTCTCGATGGATGAGTCCTGAACAGATGATATGTCCCAGGTTTCTGTTGAGGAAAATAACCTTCTAACAGCTCCTTACTCTGAGGAGGAAGTAAAGAAGGTGGTTTTCCAAATGGAACACAACAAAGCACCAGGTCCGGATGGGTTTCCCGCTGAGTTTTATCAGAACTTCTGGGAGGTTATCAAACCAGGCCTTATAGAACTATTTGGCTACCTCCATGCTGGACAACTAGAATTGGTTTACTTAACGAGGCTAAAAGGATTCAACAACATAGACCTATATGCCTCCTTAATGTTAGTTTTAAAAAATTTCATGAAAGTTGCGGTGATTAGACTTAACTCGTTGGCTGACCTTGTAGTTCGTCCGACCCAGACTGCATTTATGCAATGTAGAAACATCCCTAGATGGAGTTGTAATCCTTCTTCAAACATTAGACGAACTACATCGATTTTTTTTTGAATGGGGTAGTCCTTAAAACTGATTTTGAAAAAGCTTATGACAAAGTAAAGTGATCTTTTCTCCAACAAACCCTCAGAATGAAAGGTTTTCCTACATAGTGTTGTGCTATGATCCATAGCTTCATGTCTGGAGGTAATGTTGCCATTAAAGTCAATGATGATGTTGGCCGCGACTTCCAAACGAAGAAAGTATTACGACAAGGTGACTCATTATTGCCCATGCTATTTAATATAGTGGCTGATATGTTAGCTGTCATGTTGGAGTGTTTAAAGGTTGATGGTCAAATTGACGGGGTAGTTAATTATCTGGTTGATGGTGGACTTTATCTCCTTCAATATGCCGATGATACGATCCTATTTATGAACCATGAATAGAAAATGCGAGAAATTTGAAAACAATTTTGTCAACATCCGAGCATCTTTCGGGTCTTAAGATAAACTTGCATAAAAGCGGATTGTTTTGTTTTGTCGAGGGTCAAGATGAGGCCCATCTGTATGTTGAATTGTTTGGCTACGGGCAAGGCTAGTTTCTAGTTAGCTATTTGGGGATATCGACACATTATTGAAGACTCACAAATGCTTAATGGAAAAACATTGAGGAGAGACTACAAAAAAGGTTAAGCAGATGGAAAGATACACTACTATCTCTGGGAGAAAGATTGGTTCTCATTAATTTAGCCTAAGTAATATCGTACTATATATGATATCCTTCTTCCAACTTCCTAAAGGAGTCTTACATAGATTGGATTATTTCCGATAAATATTCTTTTGGCAAGGAGATAGCGAGAGAAAAATATCAACTGGCTAAATAGAGTGTGGTTTGTCGTCCCAAAGACCAATGATGGTTGGGAATTCATGACCATGACGTTAAGAATGCTACCCTCCTCGGTAAGTTGTTGTTTAAGTTGCTGACGGAAGATGGTGTATGGCAAACCCTCCTAAGGGGAAAATATATAGGCTCAATGTCCAAGGTATATTGGAAGCCTGGGGTGAAAGGACCACAATGTCGCCTAGAGGGGGTGAATAGGCGTTTTAAAAAACTTCTACGGATTTGGCTTAATCCTAATGCAGAAATAAAATAAGAGGATATTTTTCTAGCACAAATCCTAAATACACTAGGCTCGACTAAGTGCACCAACAACTTAATCTAAACAAGATGAGCACAACAAGGATGCTTACTTGCACAAGTAAGTTACACAAACTTACTTGACCAATATCACAAGATATGGAAGTGTATGACACAATATAACAATTCACAGTAATCGCAGGATATATCAATAGTACCAGGTATGAATTGCAAAATATAAAGTGTAGGCCTAAATAATATCTACAAGAAATAGCCAACACAATATAACGAGGACAATAATATATGTAGTGAATGTAAGGTCAAGAGACCAAAGTAAAGCACAAGTAGTGGCTAGGGTTAGAGATAACTGAAGACACGAAGACGAGGATGTATCCCAATGTTCACTTCCTTGGAGGGAAGCTAGTCACCGTTAGAGAGGTCGATGTTACCATGAAGGAACACCAACGCCACAAAGGCTCACCCTATTCTCCATTTGAGACAACACCACGAAGGCGTTTCTCAACCACTAGTGGTAGACCTTGAGGCGGCCTCCAAACCTTCAGAAATTTTCCAGGGGACAAATCACAAGTTGATTCCTCACCGGAGCACTCCTACCGCCTAGGAGTCTTCAACCTCCAAGAGTAACAAGATCAAGGGGGAAGTGCTCAAGACTAACTCAAATCACAAATTGCTTCGGTCAAAAGAGAGAGAGAGAGAGAGAGAGAGAGGAGGAGTGGGTGTATGCTTGGATGAAATCTCTCACAAGAACTCTCACAAATCTCTTCGAGGTCTAACACAAGAATGCTCGAGTCCCTCTCTCTCAAATCCCACCACAAGCAACTAATGCTATGGGGGATGGTAGAGGAGAGGAACAATGGAGAAGCTCAACAAATGAACCCTAGATCCATGGGATAGTTTTCCCCTAAATGGATTAGAGTTTTGAGCTTGGGGGAAGAGGAGAGAGCTCAAAAGAATGGGGAAATCTTGGATCCAAAAGCCCTGCCTCGATGGGGAAGAAGGGTACCTTATATAGTGCCCCACCAAATCTGCCCGCTATGCACAGAAAAACGCAGCCCAAAACTTCTGGGCATGCTCGGAACTTCCAGGCTCTCGATTGGGCACATATGTGCAAACTCTTTGGTTAGCCTGGAACTTTCCCCAGAACCTACCCGGAACTTCTGGCCCCGGGCTCCCTTTGGCCACAAGTATGGCAGCTTTCTGTTTAGCCAGGAACTTTTCCCGGAACCTGCCCAGAACTTTCGGTCACCGGAACTTCTGGGCTGCCTGGAACTTCCGTCCCCGCAGAAAACAGCCAGCAAACCGAAAGTAAAACATGCATAACCTTTTCATACGAACTCTGATTTTGATGATCTTGGGCTCATTTTCTAGCTATTGAAAAGCTACAGGTTCTCACATAGAGAACTAACCAATATCAA